TCGTAATTGGGGGGGGGGCGGTGACTAGTAATAGGGGGGCGGTAAATAGCAATCCAGTAATAATTAGGGGAGTATTTGTTTGATTTTCTTTTAAAATCTATATATATATAATTGCTGGCTCATGAGCATTTAATAAAATCTATTAAATTATATTTATATGACAAAATATTTTTTTCCCTCAAAAAACTGTTACTTTTTATTTATTTAACCTCTCATTTAATTATTAGATAATCAATACACTAATCACTTCAAAATTACAAAAATCATTTTAAACTTTTTATTTATTTACAGCTGACCATATAATGTGTTGACTATTTAACGTGAGTAGATGTTATTGTTGTGGTTATATCTTAATTAACTTCTCTTGGAAACGTATTTGAAATTCCTAAATAAATAATAAATAATTCACAAAAAAAATTATACATACCAAAATATACATTACATCCAATATGATAAACGCAATTCAAAAAAATAAATATTTCAACTCCTTTAATTGTAAATTTGGCAAAAATCATTAATCATTATATACATACAAATACTCACAATACTTTATTTATATATTTGTGCAAATGCACAGGTCGAATACTAGTTTTCTTTTAAGACTTAAGAAATATTAGTATATTTGATTTAGATTATTTAAAATTTTCAAAATTTTTGAAGTTTTTTTTTTTTTAAAAAAAAATATATCATACAAAATTTTGAAGTATTTAACTCATTCGAGACTATGATTTGTTGAGACTAAATTGTGTCTACACTAAGATTGGCAATTTGCTTAAAAAACTCATCATCATCACTTTGTTCACATTGTAATCAAAATCAAGAGTTTCAGCATAGTTCTTTTAAAGAGAGTTTTCATTACAGTCTTCATTATCATTTACATCATTGCTTGGTATTACATTCACATAAATTTTCTATCTCCCTAAGAGCCTTGTTCTTAATAAACCAAGACCCAACATCATCATCGGTGAAAATTATCTTAAAGTCATTGCCAAGCAAATGTAATGTTTCCTCCTTTTTTTTTTCTTTTTTCCGACAGTCTCACCAGTTAAGCTATTTAGGGTTTATATGTTTATACTTTTACTATTCACGTAGTCAAAGATAATTGAATCACCCCCACTATAACAGTAGGTTCATCCAGAAATTGACCTTCATAGTATGCAACAATACTCAATTGACCATTCCCACAACATGCGATAAATTTAAAAAAAAAAAAAAAGCTTTCATCAATAAAAACAACAACTTTACAAATGAATAAAATACATGTCTTATGTCCTAACATGTCTTTATAAAGCCAAACATAAAACCACAATGGAATATCACCACTTTAATTCTAACATCTATTTATCTTGATAATAGTCTAACGTTAAAAAAATAAAATAAAAAGAACTTCAAACCGTGTGTAGATTAATGAAAATAATGGAGGAAAATTAAGGAAACTTACTGTACGCAGGAGGAGAAGAGTAAGGCTTCATATTGCTTCTAAAGGATGTCATCAAATGGATGTCTTAGGGGGTGATTGTTTATAGTTTGTACAGGAGGAGAAGAGTAAGGCTTCAAGATTTTTCCTTTTTTCTTTAGAACAAGATGATAAAAACGCGTAGAAGATGTATTTATAAGCTATTGTGCTGAGGTAAAGTAGGCCATGTGCAGTCCACATCAACATAGTTTGTGAAACCAGCCGAAATTCTGTTGAGTTTGGCCGAAATTGAGTAAAAAGACCGAAATTTTAAAACCTTTTTGGCTACTATTGCCAAATCGAAAAGATGGTGGCCAAAATTGCCAACCCGTAAAAAGTTGTTGGCTAGCAATTTAACCTATATGTGTGTGTGTGCTATCATATTTTTTTCTGGCGAGCAACTTGACATTGAAACACCTAAGCAGGGAGTCGAGTACATGGCCGTTGTCAAGAAGCTCACCTCTCGATGCACGAGTGGGGGAAGAAGAGGGATCTCAATCTTGGATCAGAAGCAAAGCTGGCCAACTATTTATGTGTATAATATAATGATATGTTCGGTTTAGGTCATGGATCTTAAATCATGAATTTGACCAGGAGCAAAGTTACCCCAAAGGTTGGAGTGGATCCAACCAGTCTAGTTATGTAATTACTGTTATTTCATATCAGTTGACATCACAACACATAGCTGCATAAAGAGCACTCCAAATTTCAAGCTCCACATAAAGCTTTAAACCTCACCCTCTCTTATTAATTTGTTTGTTTGTTTTTGAATGTTAATATATTAGTACAAGTTCACGATCACACTTCTTTACAACCGTAGATTAATTACACGGCATGAGTGGATTTTCAAACCTTCAACTTCCTCGTAATCTCGGCAACATACTTACCTTGATGGAAAGCTTGCTTGAGCTCGAGCTCCGTGGGTTGGCGGGACCCATCTGCCGCATAAGTCCCGGCTCCGTACGAAGATCCACCCTTCACTTGCTCCATCTCAAACATCCCGCTACCAAAAGTGTACCCGAGAGGAACAAATATCATGCCATGATGTGCCAATTGTGTTATAGCTGTTAACCTGCACGAGCACAAATATAATTTCAAACTTCTCTCACATACACAAAGCAAAACAAAATGGCTATTTGAATCGATCGGGCTTCTAAAGAAAATATCAAGAAAAATATATTACGAAACCTTACTTACGCGGTAAGCTCCTGCCCACCCCCATGGAAACCGGTGCTCCAGAAAATCCCAGCGGGCTTCCCTGCAAGAGCTTGAGTGGCCCATATGTCCTGAGTGGCATCAAAAAAGGCTTTGCATTGTGCTGCCATTACCCCAAAACGAGAAGGAAAACCGAAGAGAAAGCCATCGGCTTCCACCAGTTGTTCGGGCCTAATCTCGGGCACATCATTGGCTTTTTCAGGAGCCTTCATTTTCTCTAAAACCCGTTCGGGCAGGGTTTCGGGTACCTAATATTTGAAACAAAGCAAAGCATGCACTGGACAACTATTAATATAAGGTTAGGTTTTTGTTGAGTTTATCAGTTTACCAACCATTTAATTAAGTATGCTTATCTTCATTTTTTATTTTTCTGTCTTAAAGCAAAAATTACAGAAATTTTGTTTAAGGCTAACCAGAAACATAATAATCAGTTAGTCACAACACAAGTATGAACAATCAACTGATCACTATTACATAGATAGACAAACAACCTACCAAACAATTTTATAGAATTCGAATATAATCGTGTTGACCTATGCTTCCAACAAGAAATAAATCAGTTATCAATTGTCAACTCCCCTATCGGCCAAATGCCCATACATATTCATCGGATAATGCGTAATTTGAAATTAAAATGATACTTACAAAAAAAAAAAACATTGTATAACAATTCATAGCAAAGTATGCATTTTTGTTAAAAATGTACGACAGATCGACTCGCTTAACAATTAGACCGACTCACGCAAGAATTCGTGGTAATCGGAGAACAAATATAAATAGATAATAATTACTAAAAGCATACACAAAACCAAAGAGAGAAAAGGGGTTATCACCTGCCAAAGAGTAGCTTCAACACCAGGAACTGCATTAGCACCCTTTTGTATTTCTCTTGCCATGCTCTCCACATGGCCATACAGTGAGTAATACCTGAATGATTTTTAACACAAAACTTGTTGGAATATAGGGAAAATGAACCTAGTATATAAGCCTAGTGTGCTACTTCTATCATCAACAATTGGTTTCGGGATAGAACCACACAAAGGTGCATCAATGCTCACCCTCTTATGATGAGCTTCGCGCTTCACCTGGTGGGACCGCACCCTCTTCCCCCGATTCTCTAAATCTCACAAAACTCAAATTTAACTCAACCCTCCTCAACGACATCAATATAATTCAATAACATCAATCAAATCATTCAGACCTATCACATCAACTTTAATTCACTATTTAATTTCTCACGATATACTTTTAACTATCCTTCACCTCTAATCACATCACTTTTACTTTTAATTCAAATCAATTTTAATCATTATATTTTAAATATCAATTTAATACAAGCTCAAAATTCCACTCAATCTTAACACAATCAACTTTTTTTAAAAAAAAAATAAAATAAAAAAAATCCAACAAATTAAATCAAAACCAAAATAACTTATATCCAATCACCGGCTTAGATCAAAAATAATACTCATGTTCAAATGAAAGTTTCTTACACTATATACACCTTGGTGATGCCCATCATCAGAAGCTCCTCAATGAAACCTGAAACAAGCCAAATAAACAAAATAAAATGAGAGGGATAATAGTGGTAAAAGTAAGAATCTTTGCTCTGAATACAGGGGAAATTAGTCATGATTTTGATGATAAAACCTGATGAATATGTAGAAAATACAGGGTTGAGCCCGAGCCCGAGCCCGTCAATAAAAGTGATTGAAAAATGGGTCGAAGAGAAGAAGAATTATGGCTGTGACTGTGAGGATTCATTTTTCTTAAAAGTTGCTGGATAAGAAGACAGCGGCAGATACAAACAACACATGTTTAAACATTCTTGTAGCTAATCCTTATCACCCACCCACCGGACTTTTTGTCCTGTAATTTAGTATTTTAATGCAATTTTAGTCTTTTGGGACTGAAATTGCATTGAATTTTAAAATCATATGACCAAATAGCAAAAATGTTCAATTTTTAGAACTAAAAACGACACTAGATCAAACTAACAGAACTAAAATTGCAATTTTGCTAATATATATATATATATATATATATATATATATATATATTTACCATATCAATTAATATATCCTAAGAATTTAGAAAAAAGTAACAAGAGATTTTATAGTTACTAAAAGATGAACTTTTAAGATATGAATAATAGAGGATAATCCTCTTCTACTCCACAGTGGACATATTAACATGTGACCACCGTGGGTAGGTGAGTATTACTCATGAGCAATATTCCCAATCTTTTATCATTTGGTTATAGATTTAATAAAAATGTTTCCGAAAGTTTTATCAATCTTTTTACATATTTTTTAAAGTTAATTTGGTAAATAAAAATTATTTTTTCACAACAATTTTTCAGTCTGCTGATAGATATTGAAATTTTAATATTTTGTTAATTAATGTCTTTATTCGTTTTTTGAATATATGATTCAAGATCAATAAAATTCACAATTAATAAAATAATTATATTTCATCCACCAAGTCAAATGTTATGATAAATAAAAATAATCATGAGAAGGAAACTCCTATGACCACTTTTTTTTTTAGGGTATCCATCATGAGTGTTGTTGATGTTCGAAAATGTCAGCAACAGGAGGTGAATTGTACACTAAATTGTGTATTTTGTTCAATCTACATGAATAGATTTGTTCCGGAAATATGGATTGAATACCTATTATATTCATGGCTTTTTGATATATATGTTTTGTCACATGAATACATGAATAAAACCATCCCAAAAGCAAGAAACAAAAAGATGAAGATCAAGTTAATTTTATTGATAATGCTTTGGGAGAAGAATGTTGCCTCCTCTCTCTCTCTCTCTCTCTCTCTCTCTAGATTTCTTTAGATAAGATAACATCATGTGGACTCCTCTTTTTCTGGATAGGATTTGACTAGTATATATAAGATCTCACAAGTACATCTCATATCTTTAATATATGGACCTCAATTATTGTGGAATAAAATAATACAAATAATATTTTAATGTGTTGTATTTTTATTAATCGTAGCCAAATTAAGTATCACCAATGAGCAAAGCTATTCTCATTGGTCTTGGCTTAAAGTTAAAGACTCCTTTCTCTCTTGATGGGAGAATTACAAAAAATATTTTGCACCCTCAAGAGTTTGTCTGATTACAAAAAGACGCCAATTCTCTTTTCAAAAACTACAAATACCCCCTGTAGTTTGCATTTATCTCACAAACACCCCCCATCGTGCGCTTTTGCAAGATCGAAACAAACGTAGGAGTCACTTGTAACTTCAGAAAGATAATCGAGCATTGTAGTAACTGTCGTGTTTTTTTTTTTTTTTTTCTTTTTTTCCTTTCATCATCAACATTCCCGATTCTCCTCATTTTTCACGTTCCGAATTTTCATGAGGTCTACACATCATCATTGGATTCGATCGAGCTCAAAGGAAAACAAGTATCTTCCCCGCCCGTATTCCACAGGAAATGGGCATAATTAGCCGCGTAACACGAGTTATCGGGCTCTGCAGATATGGCTTCCAAATACTTCTCCTCGGCACCCAAAAGATCGTTCCTCACGACCCACAGGAAGTTCGCGTATTTATTCAATGCCTCGTCATCTTTAGGCTCGACTTTTGTAGCTCTCTTGAAGTACTCCTCAGCTCTGTTTCAACCAAAAAAAAAAAAAACACCAATATACCAGCAAGTTAATAACAATCATTTTTCAAACTTCAATAAAAAATGTATAAACAAAAGAAAAGGCTTTTTCTCAAGTCTCTTGAGAAAATTGGACTACGACAAAGTGCGATAATTAGTAGTACTAATTTCTTCATAAAAATCACTTTTTTTTTTTTTTTTTTTTTT